ACCAGGCTCAGGATTAGGTTATTGGATTGTACAGTTCATTTTCTTACAGACTTATCCCCTCACCCAACTTTAGCTGGGATAAAAGTTAGGACTGAATCAATTTAACCATGTAATTCTAATGACAGTCATAATTCTCATGAGAATTTGGTTTTAAGAAGATACATTTTTTTAAAAAAAAAAAAGTCTTAAATCCTTGGTTTGAAATCCCTACAGAGCTACGCGGTTAAAATGGGTGCCTTAAATAATATGTGTATTCTATATTCTATCAATGTGTTCTGTTAAGTTTTGTGTATAGAGAAAGAGAATGGGAGCATTATTATTTTTTAAAATGTTATACATATGCATACAGAAAGAGAGCCAGAGAGAGTAAACCTAACCTAGTAAACGAGATAGGAGGAAACAAAATCAGATGAGTTAAATCTACTTTATTGTAAGATTCCATTAATAGATTCCTACAAGTTTGAGAGCACAAACCTCCTGCCAGCCATTTTTAAGTGCTATCCCTATTAAGGAAAGTTATTTATTATTATTATTTTTCTTTGACTATTAACCAATTGGGGGTTCCACCCTCTCATTTGATTATTATTATTCCAACACTGGAAGTTTTTAAGAAGAGATGGGATAACCATTTGTCTGAAGTGGGGTAGGGTTTCCTGCCTAAGCAGGGGGTTGGACTAGAAGACCTCCAAGATCCCTTCCAACTCTGTTATTCTGTTATTTCACAGGCATCTCTTATCCCTGAGCCTCAAGAGCATCCATGAATCCATTTCATAGTCATGCATATGAAGATTAGTCTAGAATGATCGCTACTGCAAAAGTAATGTTAAAATAAACATGAGAAAACAAATATCAGCACTTCAGTTGTCCCTTTTCTCAACAATAAACAAAAAAATAGTGGACATTGATTTGGGTATCTCTAAAATATTAATTCTAGATGCATTACAGATTTATTTCTTCCCAAATAATAAAACTATTGTATTTGAATCACCACTGAAGAGGTCATCCACACTCAGAAAAGTTAGCTGATATTAATTCTTATATATGATTAGAAATCCCTAACCCTTCTGCAGTCACGACATAAGCCTAAGATTGAAAATTAAGCTTGTCAAATCCTACCGTGTTTTCCCCAAAAATAAGACAGGGTTTTATTTTATTTTCACCCCCCAAAATAAGCACCTGGCCTTATTTTTGGGGAGGTCTTATTATTTTTGAGGTGCAGGAGGCAGCGAGNGAAAATAAATTAGTTACCCAGATACAACACAGTAAAAAACAGGACTTGAATGAGCTACAACACTTCACTAAAGCATAACTAGTTTACTCCAGAGGCCAATTGATAATTTCCGTTTCCTGGATAAATACACAGGAAAATGGGGATGAAATTCCACTTAGGGTTAGGGTTGGATTTAGAGAGGAGTAAACAAACATCGCCCATAGATTCACAGAGGTTGGTTATCCTTAGAGGCGTCCCACATTTCCAATCCCCCTTATTTTCTTTTCCTGGATAGTCCATGGGAAATTCCAGCAGGCAAAGGAGTTACTTTTCAACTTCCTGTTTAAGACAGGGGCAGCATTTCTGGAAAGCAGGCTTGCCAAAAATCCCTTGCATACCAAGTGAGGCAAACTGTCAAGCCCAGTTTAATGTATTCCAATTACAAAGTTAAAGACAGCTTGAGGATAGGTTCTGAATGCAACAAGGCATAATATTAGCACACCGGCCATATGTTGGTGCATATAGAAGTATTCACAGCTTACCCATCAACAGCTTTAATGTTCAGCCCTGTGCCTCATTTACCAGAGGTAAATAACAGGATCAGTCCCTTAAAATCTGAAGCTGAAAAAAATAAAATAAAAGAGCCTATCCTTCCAATACATTTTCAAGGAAAATGGCTTTATGCAGTGTACGAGCATATCAATTCAAAAGAATATCTAATGGGTTGCAGCCATTTGTTTCATACAAGCCGCTATCTCATTTTTAGTAGCCATAGCAATTGCACTTAAGACTTATATGCTGCTTCACGGTGCTTTCCAGCCCTCTCTAAGCGGTTTAGAGATTTGGCATATTGCCCCCCAACAATTTGGCTCCTCATTTTACCCACTTCGGAAGGATGGAAAGCTGAATCAACCTTGAGCTGGCCAAGATCGAACTGCTAGCACTGGGCAGAGTTAACAATGGCAATAGTACTTAGACTTACATATCGCTTTGCAGTGCTTTACAGCATTCTGTAAACAGTTTACCAAGTCGGCATATTGCCCCTTAACAATCTGGGTCCTTATGTATACCAACCTTGGAAAGATGGAAAACTGAGTCAACCCTGAGCCGGCGAGAATCAAACTGCTGGCAGTCCGCAGAATTAGCCTACAATTCTGCATTCCAACCACTTGCACTACCATAGTATTAGTATTAGTATTTAATAAATTTATAGGCCTACTACTGGGCTACTACTTGTTTGTCTTTTGATAATCACATAATCCCTTGCACTGGGATAGAGTCGGAGGAACTGAACAGAGTAAAGTGTTTACTGGCCAGATGCCCTTCCTGTCACCAATGCCGAGTTCACAGCAGATACATTCTCATTGTGCCCAGAGAGAGCCACCACACCACCCTGGCAGAGAACTAAATAAATAAGATAATATATAGGCCAAAAAAAACAAAAAACCACCCACTGCATATGTGGCTTTTTTTTGATGCGGTTGGCCTGAATTCTACATTTTGTTTCAACTTGGTATACAATATTTTGCAAATTCCTACTCTGCGACGGTTGTGAGCAACAATTTCCCAAACCTACCTTACTGGATTGCTCGTCAGAGACACTCTCAGAGATTCTAAGCAGTTGAGAAGTTTTTCTTCTGAGATACCCGATCGTAATTCGTGGACATATTCCTGTGACGAAAGCGTGCATTCGTGTTTACTGTTTTTCAGGCCACCCTAAACGGGGAAAAAAGAAAATCCAGGGATAAACTTATTTTGGGAAACAAGACTTAGTTGGCGCATGCAATCAAAGAAAAAGCGAGCTACACTATATTGCCAAAAGTATTCGCTCACCTGCCTTTACTCGCATATGAGCTTACTGTAAGTAATATCCCAATCCTAATCCATAGGGTTCAGTATGATGTCGGTCCACCCTTTGTAGCTATAACAGCTTTAACTCTTCTGGGAAGGCTGTCCACAAGGTTCAGGAGTGTGTTTATGGGAATTTTTGACCATTCTTCCAGAAGCGCATTTGTGAGGTCACACACTGATGTTGGACTTCGTGTCTGAGTTGCTGTCGTTCCCAAACACTTCCACGTTCTTATAATACAGCTGACAGTTGGCTGTGGAATATTTAGGAGCGAGGAAATT